GTCTAAAGACGCCCGCTCAGATCTAGAGAGCTCGTGCCGGCCGTTTTTTTACTACGGCCGGCCCGGAGGTGGTTAAAAAAACAAAAACAAAACCTCAGGGAAACAAAAAAAGCTCTTATATCCACGGAGATTAAGGGAGAAAAAGGCCCAGGTTAGGGTAAAAGGTTAGGATAAGCTTCACAATTATACGTAAAATACATACTCAACACAAATGCACTTTATTTTCCTTTTACAGCCATTTTTATTTGAGTTTGGGATACAGTGAGGAAGATTAAAAATCTGTGTTAGATTTAAATTTTTGTCTTTGACCTCACTGGAGAGATTTTCCTTTGCCTTTCTGACACCCATACAAGAAATGTGGGGTGTGGTTGTCCCCGGGACAAGAAGGTACACATAGGAATTATAAGGAAAAGTCACCAATAGAGACACATACAGCAACAAAAAACATCTACCAGACTCTACAAATCCACACTGAATTCAAAATACAAGGTTTAGCCTGAAGTTTGTAATATGCAACATCCTTCTTTACCCTTCATTATTATGCATTTTATTAAAAAAACTCACAAGCTGGTTTATGAGAACAATAAATATAGTGCTTTATATCCAGCATTTCAAAACTCATGGGGAACATACAGTGATATTGATTTTGATACATGCAATTTAATTAATCCCCACCAGCAACCCTAGTGTTTGAACAAATGTCTGTTATGTGACAAATGCTTTGACTTGGTTAAGTCACGTACCCAGACTCCAGTCTAGCAGATGTCATTTTATACCCATAAGCAGTTACTTTTATTTATATTGTTATGCTGTTCTCTGCGTACATAAAATCTGCTACACAATATTGTTTCTTTGCGTGAAAGTCAATACCACAGACACTATAAATAAAGTAAAATCAGAGAAACAGAAGACGCAGGTTACCAGGAATAATTTTTGTATGTTGCATGGTGAGCCTTAATAAAAAAGAATGCATCACCAGCCATCAACAGTGCAAATAATAATGCATTTATTCCTAAATTTAGGATAGTAGGTGGGGCCATTCATATCAATTCCTTTTTGCATATTATGGGCAAACTGTTAATCCAACACAGATACATATTATAAGACAGCAAGTTATTCCAAATGGAATAAAGTGGTTTTAGGCTTGGACAACAGCAATGCACTGTATAATAACCATGGGCTCTATAAAGCAAGAATTTGGGAACATGAGACAGGTTATGGTAAGGTGGACCAAAAGAAACCAAAGATTATGCATGCACAGTTGACCCAGGAAAAAAAAAAGGAATGAAATGCATTGCTCCGCCCACTTTTCTAAAATGAGTAACAGGAATTTTGATGTACCAAACATTTTTTTCTTAGAGTTCATTAAAGGGACACAATGTGAAATAATTTTGAGACACTGGGTTATGCTGCTGCTTTTAGGAGATTAAACACTGGCAAACACAGCTGCAAGACAGCATAGTAAAACCCCTCCCACTCCCAGCATGCTTCAGATTTGGGGAAAAGAAATAGTAGGAGTGGAGCATAAGAACGGAAGAGTAGGACTTGTGTCCTTTAATGAACTCCAAGAAAATGTTTTGGGGATTTTGAGTTAAAAATACCATTGTCTTAATAATTAATTAAGGGAAAAAGAGTGAAGTCATTTTGAGACTCAGACGTCTAAGAGCAGAGTCCAAATGGGGAGAGGGGGAAGAGGGGGAAGGAGTGGGCAACACAGCAAACAAAGCAAAGCACTCACAGGCCCTCAAGTAACAAGCAGTTAAGAGATTGGGCTCAACACAGCTTGCAGAGCCACTTGAAGAACCTTATGACTGAAGTTGGCATAAGATGAGGCCTAAACATCCACCTAGTAAAATACACATGTGAACACAAGACCAGGTGGCAGCCTTGCAAATCTGAAAAACAGATGCCTGTTGCTGAAAAGCCCATGAAGCACTAACTGGTCCAGGTGGACTGTGCCTTCACAGGGAAAAATGGAACCTTGTCCTTAAAGTGACATTAAACTCTCAGATTTTTTAACATAAAACAATACTGTAATGTGTGCCTTACTGTAATCCATGGTTGTTTCCCTTCTCTTTGCTGCGCTTCCTTTTAAATCTGTATCTGTTCTCATGCTCTGCAGAACTTCTGATTTGCAGCAGACTGCCTTGTCTCAGGAATGGATACACGGTGTCTGTGTATCCATTTGCATAGGCTTGTAATCTGATCCAGCACTACAGGAAGAGGCCCTGAGCTGAAAAGGGAAGTTCTGTACAGCATGAGAAGACATGAGGATTTAAAAGGAAGAGCAGCAAAGAGAAGGGAAACAACCATGGATTACAGTAAGGCACACATTACAGTATTGGTTTAGGTTAAAACATCTGAGGGTTTAATGTCACTTTAACCCTATAAGCTTGAATTATGAGATGTTGGGGGTGATTTACTAACCTAAAACGCACGCACGCACCAGGTGCGTGTGATTTTAACACAGCAAAGCGTATTTATCAACCAAAAAGTCTCTAAAAGCATATTTCCACTAATGCCATATATGGAAAAATCTGCTGCTTCACAGTTTAGACAAAAATGGTTAGCTCATGCATTTACATTCCTGCATTCATCAACGCAAGCAACACAATGTAGAGCTAATTTACACAACATCACCTTGCAATTCAGGGCAGGGCTTTGCACAACACACCTGCTGGGTGTGTACACACTAAAAAGGTGTTTAGATTCCACCCATAGATCATGCTGGGAGGGAACACACTACAGAGGTGTATACATGTTTGTGGTGTGTTTATAAGGTTAGTAAATCAACCCCGTTGAGTCTACCTAGAAAAAGTGGAATGAGAGTCAGGCTGTCCCCTATGGGGACCCTCAGGAATGATGAAAAGGGGGTCAATCTCTCTAAAGTAAGCTGTAGTTGAGAGATAGACTTGAAACAGTGCATATCGCATAAAGACAGTGGAGGGAAATGTTCTTAGTATGTCCTTAGTATGTCTAGGAGCAGGACAGAGAAGGACACAGAGTGATGAGTAGACCATTGAACATCCCTGATAGGTTCAAAGAGTGGTTTCTGAAGGACCAACAGAATCATGTTGATATTGCACTGTCAGATGTACAGTAGGAACAATGTGAGTGAGACTCTGTACAAATGCCTTTTTCAAGAAGTGAGAGGCACCCAGTCTTTGAAAGGGAACAGCTAGGGCTGACATTTGACCCTTGATGGTACTGGCATTTAACAGCCATTAAATCCAGGTATCAAGAAACAGGGTAGCAAATAAGCCCTTGGGATAGAAAATCCAGACAATCTGGAAGGGCCCAGGGAGAGACTGCGAGGAGTCAGATGAGGCTGGAGTACCACATCCACTTCCAACAGTTTGGTGTGACACAAATCACTGGAATGCCCTCCATCTCGATCCTATAGAGCAGGTAAGGAAGGAGCTTTAAAAGAAGGAAAGGCATTGATCAGGTTAATTGATCCCACAGGTTCACCAGAGAAGCCACTTCAATAGCTAGAGGATCCCTGGACCTAGGGGCAAACTTACACAGCGTGTTGTTGAACCTGAAAACCAGGAAGTCCACATCATTACTCATCTGTGAAAGGTATCTTGAAAGATACCATGCCTGGAGTGTTTCAGGTTTCCCCTTGATGGCCGACATTGTCCTACTAAATCGTGAGACAAGTCTCTTGTACCAAACAAGTCTCCAGGACTTCTCCACAGTCCACCGGACTGGCATTTGTTATAAGAACCTTTTAGATCAGTGGAAGTATTTCCCAACTCTAGGGCTAAACTCACAGGCCACTAGGCCATGCCTAGCCTGGTTTTGAGGTCAAGATGAATGTGATGAGCCAGAGAGTGTGCCTTCATGTCTCACACAGTCAGGACATTGAGTTACAGAGTCCAAACATAGGAGCAGAGAGTTTGGAGTTTTTCCTGCAGAAGAAAAAAAAAACCTGGCCAAGGCTATTTCTAGGATTAGGCCTAAAAACTCCAAGCGATGAGTCAGTGTTCAGTGCCGATTCCTTGAGGTTCAGGATACAGTCTGTTGGACATTGATTGCTAGTGTCTGTACCAACTGTTCCCCAGGAGAAGGTCATAAAGATATCGAATTATGGAAATGACCAGTGAGTGAAGCAAGGCAAGTACAGGGGCTAGCACCTTGGTGAAGTCCTGAAATTCCATGGGCAGACCAAAAGTACAACAAGCTGGTAACACAGTTAACATTGGTAAACCAACAAGATGGGGGCTTGCAAGTAGGTATCATTGATGTCCACCAAGGCCTGAAGGTTGCTCAGATGGAGAAAAAGCAATGATTAACCTTGAAGATTTCCATTTAGAATTTTAGTACCCAAAGGAAGGTGTTGAGAATCTTTAGATCCAGTATGGGGCAAATGACCCATTTTACCTTGGGCATGGTGAAATGGTTTAGGTAGAAACCCTGGGACCTCTCCTTTCCTGGAACAATGGCTATGACCTTTTGAGAAAGAAGCTGCACCAGAGCAGCGTATAAGTGGTCATTGCGGGGATGTTGGCAGGTTTGATAGCATGAAGCAGGACAGAGGCAAAGTTCAAAACTCTAATTTGTATACCCGGATACACTGGTAAGTAAGGTGGGCTTCCTAACTGTTAGGAGGACTTACTTGCAGATGCTAAGTGATTCAGGATTTTGTATATTTTGTACGACTCAGACCTGACAGTCATTAAGTTTACAGATGGAGTGGGCCAACACAGGAATGTAACTGATGGAGACACGTGGAATTCGGAAATGACACATTTATAACAAGATGTTGCTACTCGGAGACGGCAGTTGAAATTTGTCAAGGAGATATTTTTAAATGGAAAGGAGATTATCATTTTAATGAGAGCGGTCAACATCTATCAAATTAGCAGCTGTTTCATATCTTTACTAGAAGACCCTTGATGTCACGGTCAAATGCTCCATCTTTGGGTGGTGTGTAATCTAGGTGGTGCACGTTTTTCTTTTGTGTATAGATAGCTAGTAGACATGTACATACAATCAGTGATACCAACACATTTAAACAGTATACTAATAATGGTATTCCTTTTTAATAAGACTTTGTAAGGGACCCTCTTTATATCTTCACCTGGGCAAACTAATGTCAAAGCTGCTGATGCCCGTGAGATGCCCCTACCAACAGATGCAACAGCATGGCCCACATATGGCATAATCTAAAAGACCAAAACATAAAGTGCTTAAGTGTAACCTTCTGACTGCATGGATGGTGAAAAAAATCATCTATGATCACATACATGGAGAGTAACAGAGAACACAGAATGTTGTCCCATTTTAGATTATCTACAGTTCAAAAATAGATTATTATTCAGATTGCTTCAAATCTCCTAGGAAGGGTCCCTACTTGAAGGGTTGCTCTATATTAGGGATTGCTCATGGCAATTTTGTTCATATGGCCTTGGTTCCCTGGACGTCTTCTTCACCCTGTTGTGATACTTTGTCTTTCCCTAGTCTTGACACCCTCCCTCTTATCTTCCTCCTTAATCTTCTCTACCCCTCATTCATCTTCCACCCCCTACCATTTTTTTCACCTGTTTTAATGTCTTTCTTGCTCTCCTTTCCTCCTTTTACTTTCATTACTTTCATTGAGCTGCTCCCAGAGGCTACATTGGTATTGACCATGACTCCACTCACTTTATCTGTTCACATATTGATTACTGAAAGAGTCAGCATTCTGTGTTTCACATACTGCCCATCAAGTCATAGTTTTAAGTGGATGTATGCTGATATATCGTGCTTGCGGATAGCGGACTCATAGCTTGTTCCAGTTTTATCATTTTACTTGAAATTCTTTAATGAAAATCTTATGTGCCAAAAAACCCCATACAAAATAGCTTATTATGCTATGATAAGCCAGGTACGAATGTGCTTCATAAGCCAATATCTGTTGTTGGCCAGTAAACACAACAAAAAATTTTTTTCTTACATGGTTCAGCAGATTCCATATTGTAAAGGTTAAAGTCCACCCCATGTATAAAAAAATAACTCAGCTGAGAAACAGCTGGGAAATAATGTAATTAGATTATAAATATATCCATGACTAGAAAACAATAGTCATTTCCAAGAACAGAACAGCTTTAAAAATATAACCCACATGTTTTTCTTACCTGTTCATATCATCTAGACTGTCAGCAGCAAAGTAGAAGCTTTTAATCTTCGGATGGCAAGCTTTAAATGCACTAGAAGAACAAAATAATACACAAATATTAAATATATTTTATACAATGCCTAGGCGAGTGTGTGAATACAACATGAAACAAACTATATGTGAATCCTCAACTACATAGGCATATGGTAATACATTTTAGACTACACAGTGGCCATACTAGGATTAGTTTTTAATAAAACTTTTTTTTACCTTTCTCCAAGCTTCTTTTGTACTGTACAGTTATGTACAATCATGTGTCTGCACAGCATTTTTACCTGTTCTCTTCCAGATCGCAGGGGGGTTGCGGAGCTCATTATGTCATTCACACAGGGAAACTCTACTAGCTCACAGAAGTTGACAACGGCTCCCAGATGGAGCCTTGCTTTAAATCTGCAATGCAGGACAAGGCGGGGAGCAGGACGATGGGCATGGAGGTTAAAGAAGAGCTCCAGGCAGTTACACTGTGAGGGTAGCCCCACATTTAGTTTACTAATTTGTATTGAGATTATAGTCCATCATGGGAGCGAGCTTGGGGCAGTAGCTACTTCACAACACACAGGGACTGTGGGGAACAAAAGTAGCCATCCTGCAGAAGGAAGGTCTGTCAGCATCAATCCAGAGATGATTTGAGGATCTACAGCAGAGTGGTGCACAAATAAACTAAATTTTTGTTAACAGTTAAGGTACTTGACTGTATTTTTAAGATTTAATTACTGAGTTTAGTGTCACTTGAAGCGGATGCAGTAAGGTACTTGCTGCAAAGTTTAAACTGCCAAGTAAAATCAACAATTCAGATTAAGCCTGAACAATGAACCAGGCTGTTGACAAATGAACATGTCCCACTGCCATCGTTATGCTTAAATGGCAGTAGCTGAAGGCAGCCAAAAGCTGAACATAGGTAGGATTTCACATGTTTACACATTACATTATTGATAGGGCAGATGGGCATCCATCTTTTTGAGACCAAAACAATATCATTTGGTCTGGAGAAAATCACTACACTGGTGGCACTCACTCTGAACCCCCTCCCTTTTTTTGCCCATTAGTTTACTCCTGTCCCAAATCTGTTATAGTGCAGGCACTTCTGCAGCCAGTCTAATTTCACTTTCAGCAGGTGTGGAGCAATGCAGTTCATAACACGAACACAAAGTTTTACAACTTTTGAAGGAACTAAAATGTGCTTTTATGCATGCTTGGAGTTGTCATTTCATAGTTAGCCAACATGAATCATTTATTGAAAGAAGTCAACTTGTCAAAGGACCATTCTACTGGAGTTTAATATTGTGAATAACTGCACTCTCAGCACTTTTATCAAACATGATGATGACATTTACTATCCTTATTCTGGAACCTTAGGTGCTAAATGTCAACAGTATGAACAAATGAACAGTTTACAGTGCTACACGAAACACAGTCTGGTAGAACCCAATGCTTGGATAGCACTGCAGGAAAATACCAACTTAAAACAGTATCTATCCATTTTGCAGTAAAGGTAGCACAATATATGACCATGTAAAACAGCAACACTGTTTTAATAACACCTAGAGCATAGCAATTTACTACAACATGCCATAAAATTATGATATGAAAGAAAATCCAGGCTACAAACTTGCAAAGGAAAAACAGAAGTGTATGTAATTTTAAAATATATTTACAGCCAGTATGTATTTTCGGATAGGTTTTTTTTTTTTTTCCGTTTCTAGCTGTGTTCACTTAGGGATATTTTCATTGACTTGCTGTCCTTCAGAGAATAGGAAGGGACAACAAATTTCTACAAGGGGAAATCTTCTCTTAGACAAGTGGAGAGGGTGAATCTCCTCCTTCCAATGGGCACACATTCTTGTTGTCTGCTGTAGAAGAATGCTTATTGGTTGCCCTTCCAACCTTAGAATTTTTCAGAATCAGTGGGGACCATAATATTAGGAATAAACTGTTTAATCCCAAAACTGTATTGAGAACCCGGGACACAACCAGAGTTTAGAAGAGAAGGGGTTAAATCTTAGAATTTTCAAGGGATATTTCACTGTGAGAGTAGTGAAAGTTTGGAATTCCCTCCCGGAGGCAGCGGCAGCGGTATCTGCTGATATTATTGATAAATTCAAGAAACTACTGGAGGTGTTTCTTCTTTCGCAGAACCTACAGGGATATGGGAAGTTCTAAAGCCAGATATACTCGCATACATAGGTAAAACTTGATGGACCTGGGTCTTTATTCAACCTTACATACTATGTTAGAAATTAAACAATCCGTATTGACTTAAAACAGTTCGTTCTTAAATGTTTATTTTTAAGTCTCAGTTATTCTACTGTCATACCAGTACAAGATGATCCCTGATTGGCTGATATGGGTTACCGCAGTAAAAGGCTAATTATAGCTTATTTAAAATTAAAAAGAAAATTGCAATTGAGTGTTACGAATTATGCTTAAAGCAGAAATATCAGATATAAAATAGCACTGGTTAACCTAGCTATGTATTTAAAAAAAAAAGTATTAGACAGTATCTGAACCTCCCTTAGTTCCACTGAGTGGGCATCAGACCAGGAGAGGAAGGAGCAGCACTGTAAACGAATAAGGCCATACTACATTGCATACTGCTTAGCATGGTGGCAAATAGGAGGCGAGTGCACAGGTTTGACGTCTTCAGCGAGTTGCTGTTTCTTCACTATCTAATCACAGGCTGGGGTGGTTCTTAAACAAACTATACTGTATGGTAGAAGAAAAAAGTGAAGGCCTCGCTGCACTTTCTGACAAGGATATCTTGATTCAAAAATTTGGCCCAGAGAATTACACATTTTTAAGCACGTTACACCATACAACTGTGTTTGTCTGCAATTCTTTATAAATAAGGTCTCACTATTTAAGGTCTAAATGGATTTGAAGGCTAGCCTTGGAGATCTAAATAGCTTTGTCATTACAAATTACAGGGCTGTTTTTGTTTAGTCTGAAGGTTCTTTCTATTTAACTGAATTTGTTTCACCTTTGTAAATGACGCTCAATAATTCTTAGGGGCCTATTTATGTTCTTTTCCTGTCAGGAAGGCAGAACCAGAGTCCATGCTTAGCGGTTTGCGCATGCCCCCGGTTTTGCCTATAGAGCTTTGCCGGGCTCTGCGTCTTTGCGTGGACGTGCATTGCTGCATGCACCAATGTGTAACTCAACCTCTGGCACCCTTAGGGCTATTTAGGCTGTGAGGGTCACTCCTCCTGTGCTGTGTGATTGTCAGCTATACACGTGTTCCTAAATTCCTGTATTTCAATCTGTCTACCTGACCCAGCTTGTCTTGACCTCCCAATGCTCACCGCTGTGTTCCTGATGCCAGCTTCTGCCTTGCACCTCGTACGGCATTGCCCGCACATTGCCGACTTCAACCTGTCCCTGACTACTTTCCTGCCTTTCGTCTTGGTACCTCGCTGCCTGCCTGTTTACAACTCTGCCTGCCAGGACCACGGATTGCCTAAAGACCTGTTCCCAAAGTGCTTCTCTTCTGTGCCTGCACCGAAGACTGTTGCCTGGCAGAGTCATAATCATCCGGCACTCATGCCCCTCTGCGACCCTGTACTTCATTTAGGCGCTCTGGGACCAGAGTGGCAAGGTGAGGCCGCCCTTGTCACATCAGATTCCCCAAAGGTATGTGACACTTTCTTCTCAATGGACACATTCACCATTCTGAGATACCTATGGGTACAACATAACACAATCTATTCTATTATTTAATCATGTAACAGACATGTTTACTTACAATTTCTTGCGGCACTCACTGGCACGATCTATTTTAAATTCTGGTAGACTAATAAATCCTTCAGCTTTTTCTTCCTAAAAATGTACAAATAATTAAAAATATATATTAGTTACAACAATGCCATAATAACCAATTTAACTATGTTAAACAATCATAACCTCATCTGATTGGAATGTTACAGATCTCAGCAAAAACTCTGGTCAGCAGATTTGGAGATCAATCAAGAGGCCATGATGGATTTTCCAGTTGACAGACTTGCGCTTCCCAAACAATAGGAAAGTATGAAGCTGGGATTGTTTCATGAGTGCACAGAATTGCACAATCTTGCACATATAAATTTTAAGCACGTCTAAATAAATACCAATACAATGATAAGAATCACTCAGGTTACCAGCTAACTCATAGAATGCAACTCCCCATTCTTAGTTTTTTTTCCCACAAAGTTACATTTTAAAGCACAACTACAGCCAAACATTTTTTAATTTGAGATTGGATGAAGTTTACAACCTCAATGCCTGAGAGCAATATTGACCTGACAAAGGTTTTAATTCTCCCTAACATTACTAATAAACAAGCTTTTACATCTGTTGGGAAGCTTTCCCTTTATTTCCTGTCCTGGAGACACATGACAATAGGACAGGAATAAAAAGAATATGGGAGCAATGGTGACAGAGAGAGTCATCAAAAAAACAATTCTATCCAAACGTAACAAAAATATGTTTCTGTCAGACATGGGATTGGGTCCACATCACATATGAGTGTCTCTAATTTTTTTTAGCATTTAAAGAAAACTATCCCAGAATTGGGGCAATCATTTTTTTTCTTAAGTTTATGGGTTTATTGTTTATATGCAATCCGTTTTATTTTTACAAATACCATTTTACACAATGTTCACATATGCAGGATTAATTGAGCAATATGGTTTTACTAACAGCACAGTAGATGCTGTTTGCAGTCTGTCTCCATCGTCATTTGAAACCTCAGAAAGAGCAATTTGTGCATGGACAGTTAAGCAGTCACTTCTCTTACATATTCCCCTGCTTAAGTCAGTTGGCACTATGATCATTACTTTTTCCAGAAAAGCTACAGTCTGTATGACATGAGAAAGTGCATAGAGCTCCATCTGCTGGCTGTAAATAAGAATACTATCTAGCCATTTCCAATATTTAATATTTACCCATTAAACAATATACACAACAACATTTTTTTCCATTTTTTTTTTTATTCATGACCATAATAAACATATATGCAAAATCAATATACAAGTGCTTCCACTAACATTCTAACTTTTCAGGATCTAGCTTTTAGGGTAATGTTAGGATTCTAGTGCAGTTTCAGAAATATTACAGTCATGCCATACTAAAATTATTTAGCAATAGTATTTCAATGGCGTACCCTAAAGGCTACTGTTACTGCAGTGATCACATAACCAAAGAGTTTAACTCCATCTTTAATGTGTTAAAGTGGCCTTGTAGAAGCCATCAAGAGTCTTGCTTTCCTTTTCCCATATTGCACTAGGAGAATGAAGCCAGCTCTGATTAATTGCTCGGAGGAATGCAGACTGTCAGAGATCATATTTGTCTTCAGGCACATAAATGAAACTCTGATGTTACACCGCTCCGTACCCCTTATATGAAACTCAAATATTTATCCAGGTGTAATAGTAATAAAAATGACTTGTTTTGAATCTTTTTAAGTGAATAATTCAAAGAAATATGACTAGTTAGTGGTTTAAGTGGCTTCTTTTAGCTCTCCTAAATTGTTGTCATGTTAGGCCCAGGTTCACGTGATCTCGTCATACAGTTATGTTTGGCAAGCAGATTCCAGCTAGTCTACAGCTCAAAAAGCTCCATATGTCAGGGTATAAAGAAGAAAGTGAGATCTTTCTCAAAATAAATGCCTAAAACTGAGCAAATTAGATATTAGTTTGGCCCGTGTTTCAAGAATACCTTTAATGAGATGCGTATATCTTTATCTTTTCCTCTGCGCCTTCTCAAATGGTAATTGCTTAGCTGTCATGATAGTCTCTGGCTTCACTACCGAGAGTTTCTGACCCTGAGCAAAAATGAAGTCAGAACACTCAATCTGCATAGATGACTGGTAAATATATATGTGTCATGATAGACAGCCAGCGTTTTTAGATGGGGTTGAAATGTCAATGTAGGTATTTCTCTCACTTCAAAAAGCATAGGTAAAGGTTAGAACTTCTGCCAGATTTTTAATGCCGCATGTGACTCTGATGGGGCGATCTAGCCTCACTATTTATCATCTGAGCAGTCCAAAACTTTAGATTTGTCAGAGGCAATTGTCTGGATGGAGTTGTAATTGAGAATTATGGGTACACTTTTTTTTGCATTTTTAGTTTCCTTATGATACAGCATTGTAATGTACTCCTGTAATCAATAATGCACCATAAGCTTAAAAGTAGATGTAATATGCTGTGGGTGGAGCGAAGCTCTGTGCTGATTAGAGATCCCAACAATACTGTCTGGATTCTCCTCTGCCATTGAGTGACAGCAGCTTGTAGGAGTTGCTGCACATTCATGAGAACCTGTGCAGATGCAGCTCATGGCGCATCCTATCAGAGTTTATTTAGGTCAGGTCACAGGTCTATATACTCTTGTACATCCATCCTGCAGTTGGTCTTTCATTCCCCCTCTCCGCCAAACTGTTGTCTCTAGACAATACATATACTACATCGACACTAAGACAGTCAGTTCACTAAACTTCCCTCCCCTCTGCTGTCCTGGGACATACAAAGAGAAGAAGAGATAAGGACAGAAGAGTGGAGGAGAGGGGGGACGAGGACAAAGCTGAACTGACAGGTCTTAGTGCCAATGTAGTATGTGTATTGGCTGGAGAGAGCAGCATGGAGGAGAGAGAGAGGAGGGGGAACGAAAGACAAACTGCAGGATGGATGTGCAAATGTTAACTCTGATACGATGTGCCCTGTCTCATGAACCTGCAGCAGCTCCTACAAGCTGCTGTCACTCGATGGGAGGAGGAGGATCTTGACAATATTGTCTCAGCACAGAGCTTAGCCCTGCCCACAGTATATTACACTGAATTGTAAGCTTATGGTGCATTTTTGATTACAGGAGTACATTGCAACATTGTATAATAAGGAAACTAAAAATGTAAAAAAAAAAAGTGTACCCCATAGTTCTCTTGAGTGTTGGATGGCTAAAAATGCAACCTGAAGCTATGTACAGACATCCGGGAAAAGCAGTCAACTAATCATACAAGCATTAAATATGATTAGTGCAAATGTTCCCTGCAATAAAAAGAACACTCCAAGGGTTGCTATGGTTGCAAGGAAGCAACATTTACATTTTTTGACAGCTTTAAACCACCATAGTGGGCTGCAGAGTAACATGGAAATTTGTTTAAACATGTGTAGAATTCTGTGTGTTACATACCTTTTTAGTTAAAGATGATATTTCTTTAAATCAGACTCTGGTGAATTTTCATTGAAAACTATTTTGCCATAAACAAATGAGGAAATTGGATTGTATGAAAAGATTGTGATGAGTGGCTGCCTTCATATAGATAATGATGAACATTATCAATGATGTAAGTGTGAGAATTTATCTGCATTAACAGGCAAGTTTTTTTTATTTGTTCTTTACAGTAACAGTGTTGTTCATCAGATGTTCATACATCTGCATCTCGATCTACAATATAATATCTTGTTGTATTTTATTGTTAGTCAGATTTTTTTGTATCTCGATTTTACATGCAACCACCTTACAATCTACGAAGAATATTACTCTTGAACAATATGAATATTAACTGTTTATGTCTGTATAAGTATCATTCATTTTCTTGCACTGCATTCACACCACCTAATAATTATTTCATTTGACATTTTGTCTCACGTATTTGTCCATACTGAAATGCTCAAGACAAGAAATCCCATTTATTTTTGAAAGCTTCATCTGGTTTAATTGCTCCATAGTTTGGAAATCTCCCCCCGGATTTAAGTAAAATGATTACCCACATGCCAATATAGTATTGTATCAATATTCTTTTATTTCATAATGTTGTATTCTTTCATTTGTGGCTTGTTTTTTTTTTAACTACAAGCTCGAATTGTATATTTTAATTAGTGTCCTTTTTTCCCCACTGGCACAAAGATACAATTTATAGAAAAAAAAAAGAGGTCACAATGTTGCTATTAAGCTAGTTATATGGAATTCACTGATGCCGTGTGAAATTATGCTTATGTAAGTGTGTATATTATAATGCCCAGCCAGTCATTCTCCTTTAACTGTCATTGCACACATTCATACAGTGCAGAAAGCATGTCAGAACTGGGTAAATGTATTGAAAATTGTACTGTAGTGCCGCAGTGCCTTTTAGATTGCAATCAATACCAGATAATAGTAAGAATCTACAGGGAGAAGGAAGGGAACATATGAATCACGAGAAATGCGTAGGCAGATATGAGAACAAGTGAAACAGATGAGGAAGGATTTGGCTAGCAGCAAATGGAAGCTTTATCCAATGTTAGGTTTTTATAATTTTGGTTGCATCGGTGCACAAATTCAGGGATAAATGTTATGGCATCACTTCCCTAACTGGCCCATAGGCCATAGCCTCTTTTTTGGCTACATTAAGGCTCCATTCACACAGCACAACTTAAAAATATTTACAAATTGCAGCTTATCTTTTAAGATGCCCAATTCTGAAAACTGCAGGACTGAGAAATCCTGCTTCATTCTAATCGTTTAAGGGGGCAGGGGAGTTTTTTTGTTGTTATGCCAAATGACCCTATCTGTACTATAATGGCAGATTTAATCATCAGTCTGTCCTATCAAAGGGTTAAAGATCTCAAGTCATTTTCTGGTAATGCAATTTTTTTTTTAAAACTGTCCCTCTGTCTGTCTGCCCCCCGACATATATTCTAACCACTAGAAGCTTTCTGTAGTGTCCTATGTGTAATCCTGCTCTGAAAACAGTAAGAACGGCAACATATTTTTGAGTATGCTGTATGTGATTTTTTTTTTATTGCAAAAGTGGAAAAAAACATTAAAGCAGATATCCAGAACTTTCATAAGTTAACCCTTGCTGGTTTAACTGATGGTTTTGGTCTATGGAAAGGAATAAACAGAATACACTCACCTGATCCTTGATTCTGTGGCAGAGACCGCTCACCTCTCTCCCCCTCCACTTCAGCTCTAGTATGTCCCTCTGCATCCTTGCATCTAATACACAAGAATGGACTTTGCGTAGACATGACGACATCAGTTGGGCTTAGAATGCTGGAACCCGGGGAGAAGAGGCTGCGGGGACTAATCTAGCAGCCAGGCAAGAATGAGGATCAGGTAATTATATTTGCGCCCCTAGACCAAAACGAGCAGTTAACCCTTGCAGTGCAGAGGTCGTCCCACTGCAAGGGTTAACATTTGAAAATCCTGCAGTTCCTCTTTGAGGTTTGGAAAGAATGGTTAAGACCCCAGGCAGGTTTTTTTCTGTCGGTGTCCTGTCAAAGATTTCCCTTCACTTCCTGTCCAAGAGATGGCTGGAAGTAAAAGCAAATCTCTCCAATGCAAAAGGATATCCCCTCTTACAGTTGTTACCAGAATAGATTAACCGATTGGAAGATTTCACCTCACCACAAAATCTTTCGATTTCCCACCACTTTCTGTACTTGTGAAAATAGTCACCAGGTCAAATAGAGAGGCTGAACCTCCCAGCAGGGATACAGCAATAATCCATTCCTTCTCCATCCAAAACCTAAAAAAATGCTTTGGGTTTCTATACACTTTAAAAGGGATTAAAAAAAGAACTCCAGGAATTTTTATTAACCCTTGCAGTGGGGCTTCCCCCATACTGCAAGGGTTAAGTGGTCGTTTGTGTCTAGAGACAAAAATAACAAAGATATATTCACCCGAAGCTCTGAGCCAGCCGTCACATCGCTCGCTCCAGCCAGTTCGTCTCCTCCTCCAGTGCAGCAAATTAATTCCTCCTCAGCATCCTCATGTCTATACACTGTGTATGGAACATGATGATTTACAAGACCTTGGATCACTGCAGATGAAAGGAAAGGACCTTTTAAAAAGAAGCTGGCTCAGAGCTTTGGGTGAGTATAACTTTGTTATTTTTGTGCCTGGACACAAATAAGTGCGTAACTCTGGGATTGCCCCACTACAAAAGGTTAATAAAACAATTTCTGGAGTTCTTCTTTAAGATCTCGGTTTGTCCCCCAAACTGGAGCTGAAGGGTGCTTTAAAGGCTTCAAAGAAAGCTGCTTATACACACTGCTCTGATACAAGTTGTGGTGCATACATGTACAACATTTCACACTCTCCTGAGCTCTGCAGTTAGGCATCAATATATCAATAGTCTAACCATCACCTGATCCCTTGGCACGATCAGATGGCAGAAATTATGGTGCCAGTACATGAGAATTAATAAATATTAGAGGAATCTTAATCTTTTCAAAATGGAGCCAATTGTTTTACCTCCTCGTTGGAATACCAATAAAGGGAGGCATCCTTTAAAATAAACCAGTATTTTTTCCACTTCTGTGAGAAATAGCTCTTTGCATCTTTCTTCTTCCATAGCCATCCCTCACAATCACCACGACCCAAGTCCTTACATGAAATGCGCCTTTTACTTTTCCCAGGAACGGGACCTTGAAGACAAGCACAATGCAGAAAGATGAATCATGACTTTCAAGCATTACAAAGATTAACCTTTCTATAGTACTCCTAATGCTGTGCCATGAGAACAAACCCAAGTGAAACAACCAAAGAATATATAAATATTTTTAAAAAAGCATCCCTGACAAGGTAATGCCTGCATAGTAAAACTTGTAATACAACAGGTTGGGTATTGAGGGTATCAGTATGTGTTGATGACTACAATCAAGTACATATGCTGCAAGAAATAAATTTAAACCGGCATAAACAAACAGCCTGCTGTGGAGAAAATAAACATATACATGACACAGATTACTGTAAACCACACACTGAAAGTGTAATCTATGTTTGTTTTGTAAGAACAACATTGTGTATTTATGAGGAAGATGGAAGATCAAAAGCAGGCCTGTTTTTCTCTCTCTGCAGTAGTGGAAAAAATGTCCTCGAGCCGTTTTCGTCTTGGGAGGCTGCAATTTACTGGGGGAGTATAGACTGCTATAGGAAAGCTATGCTTACCTACTGTGGGTACCAGATATCCTACTGGTGACCTGTGGAGTTGAACAGGAGACAAGGATGCATCTTACACTGCACTAATTCACATACATTTTTATGGAAGTATGTTTAAACACCTATTTTTCCCAGATAGGTCAAAGTAGGGAGCCTATAGTGATGGGCCAAACACCCCCCTGTTCAGTTCGAATTCGAACTTCAGAACATGAAAAAAGTTCAAATTCAAACTCATACTCAATTCTAGTCTATGGGACTAGAACTTTGAAAATCAATTGACCCCAGGAGATTCAAAAGTTTAAATTTTTTTTTTTTTAAATCATACCGCCAGGGAGGTTAAGGGAAATAATAAAAGCAATTACTTTAAAATATCATGCCTGGGTGGGTCCCCTTAAACTGCCTGTAAAGTGGCGCATCTCTACGATGTATAGAACCTGCTGCAGCAAAAAGTGACATTTATAAAGAAAAAAATGACAATGTTAGGAGGGACCCCATTGAAAGAAAAAAAGGCGTGGAGTCCCCCCTAAAATTCCATACCAGACCCTTGATCCAAGCACAGGCCTGGCAGGGCAGGAAAGGGGGGACGGACGAGCACTGGGAGGGTGCTTTTCCAGGTTCGCCCCTGGAAAAGCACCTGGTCCCCATGCTTATGGTGACAAGGGCCTCTTTTCCACAAGCCCTGGGGCGCGGGTTGCGGGCAGGGGGCTTATTCACATCAAGTTACCCCTAAAGGGGCACCCAGATGCGCCCCCCCCCCTTGTGAATGAGTAAGGGATACTTGTAGCCCTACCCATTCACAAAAGGGTTAAATAAAAGTTTTTGTTTTTTTTTATAAAGAGACCAGACTGAAAAAATCCTTTAATTGAAAAAAAACACGTTTTTGACAAGTCTTTTATTGTAAAAAAAAAACAAACAAAAAAAAACCAACCCAAACGTAATGCAGCGTCAATCACGACGTCCAGCGTTGTCCACGATGATGACAACAACTCGACGAAATAAAAAATAAAAATAGTCCCGTCCGCTCACGACGAACTACCGCCGCAGAATAGCATTTTGAAAGATACAAGCAACATATAAACAATAGGGCGGAGCTAGCAGCGACAGCTAGCTCTGCCCAACATTTTGCAGTTGGACGGTATCTGAACTCACGCTTGACTCGAACATTGAGCCCATCCCTAAAGCCCATCATAAACACTCTGCAAAGTCTATATTCCAGTTGAAAACCTTACAGCAGCCTTTCTCATCCAAGGTTGTCTGGCATCCTAGGGTGTCTTCTGCCTTCCTCAGGGGTGACCTTAACATTTTCACACAGTTGTAGGCAAACTTCTGATGTGAAGGGGTGACTCTGGTGTGAAAGGGGGCTCCTTCTGTGAAAGGGGGGATTTTTTTTATGTTTTTGCATGAGGTCCCCCTTGAAATCCATAAAATCCCCCTGTCTGGTAGAAGAGTCTGGTATAAATTTTGGAGGGGGTCAAGCATTTTTTCAGACTTGGGTTCCTTGATATTTTGCTTTTATTTAAAGGGTGGTGTTATTGAAAAAAGGTTGAGCAATGCTGCCTTACAGTATTTAACCATTTGTAAACCGAATGGTTGGAGTGACCCGACAGGAGACAGTTTTTTAAAGTGTCCTGACAAAATGTTTTCTCTTAGTTTTAGATAGGATGGGAAAGTATTGGGTCCCTTGTCAGGCCGTAGACAGAAAGTGAGGGGAATGCACCAATAGCAAGACAGGCATTGTGTCATATTACATCACTTCTACCATACTTAATACATTTACAACACATTCTAATGACAATCTTAATTTTTGTGCCATCCTCATGCATGTAACTTCCTTGAACCATGTGGAAAAGTTTGAATTTCTGTATTTAGTCAATTTTCCTTAGCATGTCATGGCTGAAGAAATCTCCACCCAACAAAAAAAACAGCTACCAGGATTTACTATTTCCCCTTGTGGATGACACTGCCAGTCAGTATAATGTAGTGAACTGCATGTGCACAGAGTGTATAAATGGTATTGGGTTGCAAGTGAGGGAATGAAGCAAAAATGGTATGTTAGTGAAAAACCGAGATCATGGCTTTATTGCTGTGGGGGAAGTTTACACTCCCCTTTTGTCCTGGTGACATCAGAAAGCTTGGGTAAATATGTATTGTAGAGTCAAAGCAATAATTTTGCCACATTATAGATCACTGGTTCGGCCTCATCTTGAGTATTCTGTTCAATTTTGGTCACCAATCCACAGAAAGGATGTCCTTGAACTAGAGAGAGTTCAGGTAAGGGCAACTAAGTTAAGGGGCTGGGAGGACAAAAGCTAGGAGGCAAGGTTGCTAAATTTAAACTTGTTCATGCTGTAAGTGAGGTTATTAAGGGGGACATGATTTTGATGTACAAAATGTTTAATGGTAATACCAATATCAGCAATAGACTTTTTACCGTAAACGCCCTAAGAAAAGACTAGAGGCCACCAACTAAAATTGGAGAAGAAAAAAGGATTTAATCACAAAGGGACATATGGGCTTATTTTCTGTTAAGAGTGTAAAATTGTGGAACTCTTCCATAAGCAGTGGTTTTAGCAGGGAGTATTGAATCATTCAAAAATCATTTAGAAACCTCCCTCAGAGACCACACAGGGACTCATATATACACATGCATACACTAAACACACACAAAGGTTGAACTTGATGGACATGCACATGCATTGCCGTGTGTCATAATGCAATGTGGTGCCTTGCATATAATATTTGTGATGCATCTGATTTTCATGGTCTAATTTTGGGGCATTGAGAGCCCATTTATTTCAATAAGCTGCCTTACTACAACACTCTGTAAAAAAACCCTAACTGTATATAACAGCCCTTCATTTTGAACACTATCCACTTTTTAAGCAGACAAGAGTTGATGTATCATTTGCCATACCATACAGAGTCCATGATATTGGTACAAATATATTTTCATTGCAAAGACTAACTGTGCTACTGAAACATTTGATAATCTGGAGTTTAAACAACCATCTCTGAAAGATCTCTAAAAAATTAGTTGTAGACTTACAAACATAGGTTTAATATAGTTACTACTGCCTACCGCATGAAATGCAATATTTAAAACATAACCCTTTGGTGTCCTTGAATCATCATATCCAGCTGCTATTCCAAATGTAATTAGCTTCACAAGAACTTTTATCCCACAAATTTAGAATTAAATATTACCTTTATTCCTTTTCTTGGATTTGTGTTGTAGAGATGACTGCTGGAACGTCTGTAAATAGAAATACCAGCATGAGAACATGGCACATATGTTGACTTTGCAGTATACAAAAACTCCTTCAGTGTGCCTGATAAAAAAACAATAAAAGCTAATTTAGTTGTTGCCATGGTGTTATTACAGACTGACAGCTTTTTACAACAGTGTTGCAGTGCAATATCACATGCATGTTAACAAGTAGTTTTCTGTGGTAAGCCAAAAAAGAAGAAGAAAAGATGGGGCTTTGAAAGGGTCTACTAACTAATGCCAGGGAGTATGGTTCAACATAATGTCAAAAAATTCATCAATATAATAAAATTCATTTTTAATAGAGAAAATACATGATTGACAAGGTAAATAAAACATCTCATATTCAATTTAAAACATCACTACATGAACGGCATGTCACCTCTATGGAAATCACACAGATTAATATGCATAATAGCAATAATTCATCGTTTCTATATTAATAAGTTTTCTGTGCACTAACTAGAGATGTAAAATTTCTGGAAATTTTTCAGCCATGAGAAAAAAAAAACATTTTTCCCCTTGTTTTTTCCCCCTGAAAAAAATGGAAGTTTTCGGAAAAAAATTGAAAAAAAATTCAGTGTGGAGTATTTTTACAAATTGAAAGTCATTTTGTTACACTAGGAACGTTAAATGCAGTGTATATAAAAGTATTATGCTTGAAATAAAAGTACAGCTTATTCAGTAAATAAACTAAATTTGCTTTTTAAAATTGTTTTTTCTATTACAAATGGAACAACAAGGACGGTACATGTTAATAACATTTCAACTATACATGAGAACAGGTATCCACCCCTTTCCCTCAAAAGCAACAAAACAAGCAAGAACATATTTGCAAATGGCAGCTTTGCTCTCAGCAGAAGTTGCACTGTGGAAATGTTTCCAAACTCTAGATGTTGGTCTCACCATTTTACTGAGAAGAGGAAAAAAGCAATTGACACACTGGAAGTAAGGAGATTAAGGGGGGATATGATTTTCTTGTACAAGATGTTCAATGGAAATAGCTACTTCAACAATAAACCCTTTACGGTTAAACCCATAAGAAAGACTAGAGGCCACCACCTAAAACTAGTGGAGAAAAAATGTAACCACAAGGAGCGTAGGGGCTTCTTCACAGTAAGAGCAGTCAGGGTATTGAACTCGCTGCCACAAGCAGTGATTTCAGCTAAGAGTATTGAATCGTTCAAAAAGCATTTGGACAATTTTCTCAGAGACCGCAACATACACGGGTACAGGTACTCTTAAGAAGAAGATGAATCATGGGCTCATCCACAGTCATACACATGTAGATTCACATGCATACACGCTTTAGGTTGGACTTGATGGATCTGTGTCTTTTTTCAACCTCAAATACTATGTAACTATGACTGACCAGACTATAGGTAAACATTATACTGTGATGGTGTAGAACATTATTAAAGATAAACTATTTTGTCAGACAAATGTACCCTCTTACCTGTCAATTAAGGACTGAGAGGACAAACTATCATCTACTATCATACCAACAATCATCCAACTGTAGGAAGTACAGGATAACTAAACTTGCGCCTCTCCTCTGCAGTGCCCCTAGTGGCAGAAAATGCATATTTCTTTTTGAGTTTGAGAACTGCATTGAGAAGTACAGTGTTATTTGAATTGTATTCCAGGATTTGCTTCTTGTCAGATGAGAGAATGTGCAATAATTTAAGACTTTACATAAAGTCTCAGAAATCTTCCATCAAGGTCTTAATGTTATATAGATGGAATACCATGTCAAAGATGTATCATTGTAAAAGAACATATTCCACACTCCTTTTTTTATTTCAATTTTTCCAGAAAAACGGCTTTGGAAAAAAAGAAAAAAAAAACTGTTTATCCCCAATTTTTTGGGTATTTTTCCAGCCCTTCCCATCTCTAGCGCTAACACTCACTGGAGGGAATTTATCAAAACTGGAGCAGACAGAGTCTGGAGCAGTTGCCCATTGCAATCAATTAGCTTCTGTCTTGTGTTTGTTCAGTTAAGCTTTAAAAAAGATAGATGCTGACGCACAGCCGCTCCAGATATTGTCTGCTCCAGGTTTAATAAATTCCCCTCACTGAGTTTAGGCAGCCCAACACTTTAAAATGGGATGCCAATGCACAGTAACTCACATGAAAAAAAAAATAGAAAGAAACCTTTTTTTTCCCTCAACACAGTCCAACACAATGCACAGGCGTTGTGGTGAATTTGCAAAGTGCGATGAATTGCCATCCATAATTAACAACAATGCAACACATATCACAGTCAATTGTGCGCCACCATGCATTGCAATAACACGTTTTACTGTGTGGTACCACAACGCATAGGTATAGAGCCAGCCTAAAAAAAAAACTATACACATTTTAAAATCGGGTTTAAAGCCGCAGGCGAAAATTGCTCCATGATTTTTAAAACACAAATATGGCATCTTTATACAAACTGCACACCTAAACTCAGAAAAAAATGCAGAACAACATCAGTAATAGTGAATAGACTAATTCAGGCAGAGGGCAAGGTAGACATCTGATACACTTGGATGTCAGAAGATCCTAGCGGCACCTGTAACTCCATTCAATGGAAGCTGTAGTATTACGTATAATAAAAGTAATTTGAGTACATGTATCTGAAAGACAGTGTCTTCTAATTACTATATCACAAATGCAGATCAAGCTGAAAAATACAAACATTTCCCATCTGCATATTGTACATGTTGGGGATGAGTGACTCTGAAGGTATTGAAACAGAGACAGCCAGGCAAATAGCAGTTTGAGAAGATCAACAGCAATGGCAATCTCCATGTTTAACATATAAAAGGTTTATTTATTGCTTTATTGCTCCTTATATGGTATAAAATGTGCCTAATGTAACAGCGCTAAAGTGTATTTGCCTTGTGGTCCCTGCAAGTACCTGTGTTAGGGCTTGTGCAGATTGAAATATGTTTGCATCAGAGTGGATTTTCTCTCTGTGCAAGTCAAAAGCAACTTAGGTAAGGGTAAACGCAAAACAATTCTGGATGTAACCTATCATTTTCCCAAATAAATTCTTAACTGTCTGCATAACTGGGGGCATGGCAGGAGGTGAGTCCATTGCCCAAATACATTGTGCTGAAGGTGTCCCCATTTCTCATCTCAGAAAGTTAGGCGATATGTTGTAGAGATTATGTTTGACTGCAGTGAACCATTAAAAACATGTGAAGAACAATCTTGTGCAATGGACCATTGCAACCAAACAGATGCCTGCTTTTGTTACACTACCAACTTTATTATCATTTGTTGTTGGACAAAGTGTATTCATCTGAGTTATGAAACAGAACTGAATGGACTCCCTTCTTCTATTAAATTCACATTAAGTACACTAGTAGAGGCCCCTGGTATTAGGAATACTCGTCCTAATCATAAACTGCTGTCTTCTGCATGCTGTAGGGACTATTTGGGTATACTATGCTATACTGCTGAAAAGTTTGAGGTGTTGGTATTATGAAAATAAAAAAATAACTATATCTCAAACACAGGAGGACACGTATCAAGCAAATTCGTGACAAAGATAGATCAGACTGTCCCTCTTTTAGTAAAATTGGAGAGTTTTTCTGTGTATTTGTAACTCCTGCTTTTGCTGTCATGGGCAGAAAAGATTTGCAATAGTCTGAGGCAGATTTTGCATTGGAGATTATTCAGAATTTTGCTCCAGACACACAATTATGAAGTGGCCATGGACAGGTTTTACTCTGTGGCAGTGCTATTTTAGAGCAGCAGAGGGAGGAATTTATGACTGATGCTAAGCTGTTGTAGTAAATTGGTCTCAAATCTGTCTCATTGCTCCTGTGTGCCATTGCCTTCCTGTGTGACAGAATTTATGAACGCCCCCCCACATGAATGAAAGTGAACTATAGAATAAGAAAGCAGGAAATGAACAACAGAAGAAGATTAATACTTTTTCTTGCAGCTAGGCTATGGCCCAGTTAACCAAGAAAAAGGAGTTGAAGGTGGAAAGCCATTAAGTGGAGTAGTAACAAGGATGATCAGTAAAATAAGTGTGCATTAAAGGGCCTGGAATGCTGGTGAGAAGTTCAATGTCATATAGGAAGCAATAATATGAGAGGAGAAAGTTTACCACGATGAAGGAGGCGGGCAAGTGTTAATTTGTTGTACTGCTATACTTTTTGTTATAAATAGATGAAAGCATTGGTGAAAATGTCCTGATACTAAAAGCAGATACCGGTGCTTTTAATTTTTAAATAGATTGGGCTGCCACAAGGTGCCATGCATGCTGGGGACCTCGTGGCAACCTTCTGTTAACAGCGCGGGTCGCACATCTCCTCTTTCCTAGGAAACCCCACCACCCGTGAGACCCAGCAGAGCTCTGGTCAGACCATGCACAGTCTCCTGAGACCCTGCAAAGTCCTGAGGAGACCCCGCCCAGCCTCCTAAAACCCCACACAGCCCTCCTGAGACCCTCCACAGCCCACCTGAGATCCTCCACTGGAGACATCAGGCTGGCACCCCGGAGCAGCACAGAGTATGTAGCTTCTTATTATTCTGCATTGATGTATAATGTATTGCTGGGATTTTTAGTCCTCTATGTCTGGTGGTATTCTGCATTGCTGTATAATGCATTGCTGGGATTTTTAGTCCTCTATAGCCAGTTGCCATTCAGCATTACTCCATAATGTATTGCTGAGATTTGTATAGCTTGGAGTCAGTGGCAGAACTACCAGGGTCACAGCGTTTGCAACTAAGACCATGCCCTGGCACTTCACCACTGTCAAAAAATCATTAGTTGTATTGTTCTAGGGAAAAACTGTCACATGGCACTAAAAAAAAATATCGCTAATTGTTATTGGCGAGTAATTGAGGAAAAGTATCGCTACTCACACCCGGTCTGGAAAAAATGGTATTGGTGTATTGGTTCCGACATCTAGTGACGGAAAATAAGAAGTACTGCAGAGGGCAGCTATAGGTTTAAAAAGGTATTTTAACAAAAGCTGCTTTTT